TATAAAAATCACGTGAAATGGGATGTGGCACTCACATTGTCGAGTTGTCTTCAATCATGAACACAACGAAAGAGAATAGTATTGCGCGGGACTCTTCTCCATCATGTGGTATCTCTCTCTCTCTTGAAGAAGAAGAAGAAGAAGAAGAAGAAGAAGAAGAAGAAGCGTCCAGCAAAGCTAATGAAGAAAAGAAGATAAGGATGGTGGAGAAAAAAGAAGGACGAAAGAAGCGCACTAACAACAAAAGCGATGAATGCGCTCATCCTTGTAAGTCATCCATCCACTGTAAGTCATTGCATAAGGCAAAGAATAAAATTAATAAAAATAAACTACGTGATAGTCGTCGAAGGAAACAAACAGCATCTCTCTTCAAAAGACAACGGAGGACTCTTACTTCGGCTCCTCCTTCGCAATCACCGTCGTACCCGGACACGACGCATTTATGTTGTGAAATAAATGTTCAACAATGTGTGCAATATGCAACAAACTGGCTAATGCATACCATAGAAATGGCATTTCTTCAAAACCGTACTCCAGCTTCTTTTTGTGCTACTGACTATGATACTGTTGCTGATACTGCTACTTCTTCTGTTCGCGAAGATCATCATGTCTCCGCAGGTGAATCATCAAAAGAAGAACAACAAGAAGTCGTGAACGAACTCTTTTCTTTTTTGAACTAAATAATGACACATTCTGTCCTTTCGAAATATCCATGTAGTTGTTCATACATTTTGTAAATGAATATACTTTTTTGTTAATAAATTTTGTAAAACATTTACTCTTTTATTTATTTTCCAATCAAACACCAAGTAGGACATCCTGTTATTTATCTTTATTGATTTGTTTATTGAATAATCCAACAACATTCACTTGATGGTGGGTGAAAAGTGTTATTTCATCTTCAGACTTGTATGCAGGCAGACCGGTGGTATGTCGGGAGCGTCATCCGGTCGTGCACACGCGTTTGGAATCTACAGCGTACTTCCGTTAATGAACTGAGTTAATGAACTGCGCAGCTGCACAGGAAGTCGCCTGCGGTGTTCGCCAGTAGGCTATGCCGGAAGCTGCATCCGGTCGCGGTCGCAGCTCGTTTGCACTTCCAGCCGTTAATGATCTGCGCAGCTGCGCAGGAAGTCGCCTGCGGTTGACGATAGTGCGTGCGAATCCAGAGTAGAGGACTAACGACACCATTGGCTGTCCGTGCCAGTGGATAAAATTAAAACAAACCAATGAAATGCGCAAGTGCCCCGCCACTACACTTTCAATTCCCTATGTTATATGCGTTCCGTCGACTTGCGTACACAGTCTTATTTTTGAGCTGCTACTGCAACTTTGAGCTGCTACTGATACGATTAATTCTGACCATTAATAATGGCTTTGGTTGATTTTTTTGCGTCAGTTCGAACGGGCATTGTTGGTGTAGTGGTGAGGATACTTCAACAGAATCCTCATTACTTATGCCAACAAATACAAGATGGACGTACGGCGCTTCATGTGGCAGCCGTCCATAATCGAGCACGCATTTGCAATCTTCTGGTGGGTGTGGGCGCCGCCATCGACGCAACAGATTGATATGGGATGACGGCGCTTCATCTCGCCGTCAATCATAAAGATGATGCTGATGAAGAATATGATGATGAAGAATTAATTTTAGGAACTTAAAATAGCGTATTAAAATTTGTGATTTATGTGTTGTAATATATATTATATATTAATAAATAATAATTATATAAATTAATGAAATTCTTTACCCTATCACCACCTACATAGGATTCCTAAATTTAAAAAAAATAGTTTTCCATTATGAATAAAAGAAATAAAACTCTTCGAATGATTAAAACTTAATGAATTTAATACTTTAATTCAATAATGAAAAAATGAAATGAATTTCAATAAAGTTAATGTGAATATTTTATTACTTTTCATTACTTCAAAGCAATAATTTCAATAAAAAAATACTTCTCGTTTGATAGAAACAAAATTGTTTATATTTTAATGAATTCTTCATTGAACAGATTAATGTCTTCTAATTCTTCCATGATTCTTAGGCAAATACGATGATTTTTAAAAGTTTTTAAATATCTCCTCCCGTATTCCATGATTGCGAGAAATTTAATGGGAATATTATTTCCTTTCATTACTTTAAAGCAATAATTTCAATAAATAAAAATATTTCTCGTTTGATGTCATCAAAATTGATTATTTTTTAATGCATTCTGTTGGCAATAAATTGATATTTCATTGAATAGTTTGATGACTTCTGCGAGTACTTCTAATTCTTAAAATAATAAAACTCTTGTAAGCAAATATGGTGATTTTACATGATTGTGAAAAAAATTTAATGAGAATATTATTACTTTCTTTACTTTAAAGGAATAATTTCAATAAATAAAAAATACTTCTCGTTTGCTGTCAACAAAATTGATTATATTCTAATGCATTCTGTTTGCAATATTGTTTTCATTGAATATTGTTGACTCCATTTATGTAATTCTAATTTTTCAATGGAGAGGAGAATGAAGGAAGAATGAAAGGAAATAAGTATAAGCTCTTATAAGATCTTATTCTTTTTTTATTTTTCATCATTGTCATACAAAAAATATTGTTTAAAATTTAATATACTTCATTCCATATTCCATTATTCTCGTCCATGTAGATTTTAACTTTAAATGCTCAAAGGGATATAAAATAATCACATATGCATTGTTAGTCGGATTTTTTTCTCAAATATATTACATGAGGCCTTGATCTTATAAATTGCTCCACCCCCATTTCGTCGAAAAACGTAGTAAATCTATACTTCAAAATAAATTATTAATATATTTATAATTATAATTAAAAATAAGATTATAAAAAAGAAAATTATAATACTAATATACCTTATTGGTTAAAATGGACTATACTTGTCGTTTACAACGACTGCATAATTTTCGCTGTAAAATCTTTCTAAAGTAATTTTTTTTGTGCTAGTAATTTCGTAAGCGATTCCTTTCGGAAAGTCCTCCCAATGTTTTGATATTTGGGAGGATTCTGCTCGTTGTACTATAGCACTCCAAATGTCCCTAAAAAATTATTTTTTTTTCCATAACTCAAAAATTAATAAATCATTCTACATGCGTCTCTTTGGGCGGTGAGTATATAAACACGGGACATGCTGGATTCGCCACCAGTCGCGGCGCTGTGGATTCACTTATGCAAATTGTCGTTCCTGGCGATGGTGTTGATTCAGCTCCTCCGATGGCGAACTGCGAAGTTACCAGTGCTAATCTATATGCATCAAATGCATCATCTTCATCATCCATCAACCCAGTTAAATCGATGGATGCCACATCCGCACCCATCAATCGTCTTTCCAGCAAATCGATTTTTGTCTGTTCGTTCACACTATTAAAAATGTAAAAAAAGTAAAAAATAAAAATATAAAATTAATCTAAAAATGAATGGAAAAAAGAGACAACAAATACTTACGATGTCTTCCGCTTTTTGGACATCGAAGATGTCGACGGCAATGCCACGGCAGCAGCATCTCCTTCTCCATCAATTTCACGAATGGTGGCCATCACGAAAGAACAGGTAGCTGCAACAGCAGTAACAGCAGCAGCAGCAGTAGCACAAAGAGTACTATTCATTTTATGATGATAGCAACGCTTTTATATATGAACAGTGACTTAACGAACGCGGTAACGGTTTCCCACGTTCTCATTTGAATTTGAAAAACCGTTAATTTTTTTC